TCTCAGGAGGCTGAGGCAGGAGGATGGCAGAGAATTCAAGACTGGCCTGCCTGAGTTCAAGGTCAGCCTCAACTAAACTACATAGTGGGCTCCTATCTCAAAAACTCAAAAACAAAAATAAAAATAGACTAAAAAAACCCACAAAAACACAAAGGGTACTTAAGGTCTAAGATGAAATTTATAGAAGAGGATATTGAATACAGTGAAATTTAAAGGATGGATGACTTGAAACTGTGCCTGGGTTGATCTCCTTTATTTATTTATATATTTATTTTGTCTTTTTGAGATTGGGTTTCACTGCACAGTTCAGGTTGCTCTTGAACTCACTTTATAGCTCAGGCTGGCCTCAAACTTGCAGGGACCCTCCTGCCTCAGCCTCCTAAGTGCTGAGAGTATAGGTATGTGCCACCATACCAGGCCAATCTCTTATAAGTCTTGCTGGAGGTACTGACAATGTGTGAATTACCTTTTCCTCGGGGCATGAGTTTGTTTATGATGCTGCCCTATGGAATTTTAAAACATAAACTATGGGCTGAGTATTACGCATTTTTCATCGGAAAAATCGATCAGCAATGTGACATAGTTACTGCCATGGCCAACTGCAATTGGCAAAGGAACTGGCACATAGGGGCCCAGCTCTGTCTCCCTCACATGCTTGGAAACACAGAAGCCAACACCTTGGCCTTCTTTCCAGGAGGGTGTGGCCTGGCTTGGAGGGACACAGTGGGGCCTCCCTGAAGCGGCTGGGGCCATGGGCAGTCCCTTCACCTAAGGCCTGGGTGGAGGACAGAGGCTGTGGAGAGGTGGCCGGGTGGAGAGTACCCCACAGAACCATTGGAAACATTCAGGAAAACGTGACGGGGACCCTTCATGTACAGCCCTCAAGAGACGCTCAGAAAAGCCCCTAAACGTTGTGCAGTTTCCCCTGAACGATGCTGCCACAGAAGCCACCCGTGGCAGAGGACCATATAACTTCTTCAGGTGGCCGCTTCCGGTCCCCAAGCTGAAATGGCTCAGGGTGCAGCCAGGAGGGAGTGGGGCTCGGTCTGCGGTATGGGACATGCAGCTTCCAGACAGACCCCAAAAGCCAGAAGAAAGGGCGAGTGCATGACTGTCCCTTCCTGTGGGCCGTCGGTGCCTGGGGGCTGCGTCATGCATGTGTGTGGGGCTGTGTCTCGCTGCACAGCCTGCAGGCTCACACAGCTTAGAGCAAACGCTGGAGAACAGGGATTCACGTTCTGCTGACTTCCTGGCGTGCGCTGATAAGAAGCTCTGACTGGCTGGGCGCTGTGGTGCACACCCACATCCTGGAACTCAGGAGCCCGAGGCAAGAAGATTGCCATGAGTTCAAGGCCAACCTGAGCTACATGGTGAGACCCATATATACATATATTTATGTCTGCCAAGTGGAGTGGTGAGAGGAAGGGTAAGCAAACTGTGCCACAATCACACGGTGGCATCAAGATGGAATAAACTGACCCAATCCAGTAATGTGAATACATCTGAGAAGCATTAGAAAGACCCAAGAAGCCAGAGCCTCATACATGTATAACGTAGATTCTGACAAGATAAATCCATGGTGGCAGAAGTCTGTCCAGAGCGGGACACGATTAAGAAGTCACCCAGGGGATTTGCATTTCCTGCAGCCATGGACCTGGTCTTTCCTTAGAAACTGAACTCAAGCGTTCATGTGAAGCTACTCCTCAGCACCCCCTCCCCATTATTTTTTTTAAACTTTGGAGACAAGGTCTTGCTCCAAGGTCTTGCGAAGCTAGCTGTCCAGCACTCTGGGAGGCTCAGGGAAGAGGGCGAGTGTGGCGGGCATTTTCCATATCATGGCCCGGGTGTGGACAGGGGCATGCGTGCCAGCACCTACATATCCCTATGTCTGCACCACACACACACACACACACACACACACACACACCCGACCTGCCTCTGTTTTAGATCCAGGAAGAGGCCAGGGAAGCTGAGCTGAGGGACCATAGGTTGTTCTGAAAGCACCTTCTCCCTCATGGGTGTGTATCTGCGCCTGCGTCTGGCTGTAACATTTGTAAAGGACCTGGAAAGCCAAGGAGATTTTTCTAGCAAATCTGTTGACTTTGCAGTTTGCTCTGATGCGGGAACACATTCTGCTTTCAGAGACTCTAGTGTCTCTGAAGCTATAACACAAATCTCGTGATGAGAAAGAACACACTGGAGGTGGGAGGACCCATGGGAGGACTTTGCTTGGTATCCTGTATTTGTAGTTTGAACAGGGCTTGCAACAAAAAGAAACATTGCTTTGGGAAACATAACATCTACAAACTCTTAAAATTGCAGTTTCAAAGTAAACATGTAGTGATAGGTTCAGTGCGGATCCCAATCTGGGATGGTGGGATAAGCTTGTAATTCCAGCACTCAGGAGGCTGAAGCAGTCGGATTACTGAGATCAAGACTAGACTGGGGTACATAGCCAGGTCAAGACTAGCTTGGACTTCATAGTGAGACCCTGTCTCAAAAAAATAAAATAAAAGCACCCTAAAAAAAAACCCCTCGAAAGCAGAGCCTAACCCAAAAACCAACTCATGATTGCCTGATGCATACTAAGATTTGAGTATGGTGCATACTTAGGAAATAGATGGCTTTTTCTCTTTTGAAAGCATACATATTTATGACTGGCATACATACTTACATATCTACTTAGAGAATGGATTTTTTTAAAAAATCACTTTGAATTGCAGTGCTTGGGGATGAACCCAGGGCCTCACACATGCTAGCTAAGCACTGTACCACCAAGAAATTCAATCTCAAATTTTGTTTTAAAAATATTTTTGTTGGAGCCTGATATGAAGTAGGAGGATTCCAAGTTCAAGTCCAACCTGGGCAATTTTTCAATTTAGGAAGGCCCTGTCTCACGATAAATGCAAAGGGCTGGACGTAGCTCAGGGTGACAGCCTCAAACTCCCAGTCATCCTCTAATCGTGTTTGTATTGCCTTCTCAAGATTTCTTCTAAAGAAGTAAAGAAATGTGGCATTTTTAAGATCACAAATTAATGGTGCATTTTTTACCTTTAGGAGTAAATACATTTAAATTTTAAAAATGGATCTGTGAGGTTAAGTGCTAAACCCTGGCTTTATCATCACTGGACCCTGGGTGATGGTCCTTGCGTTCCTGGCATTCATGCTGAGGATAACTGAAAAATAGCAGTTTCTGCGGGTTTAGCACCCTGCCTAGGCCCTGTCTGGAGAAGTCGCTCATGCCTGTGTAGACCTGGGAAAAGCCTCCAGATAGATGTCCCACCGGGCTCTGTCCCCTAAACTCAAGCCTCAGGGATAGCGGCCTGCTTGGGGTCACCTGGCCATCAGAAGCAGAATCAAGTCTTGGGTCAGAGTACAAATCCTTTGCTCTTCTCATAAACTGCAGCAGGCTCGGGTGTTGGGTGTTTAGTAGCTCAGTGACCTTTCCATCAGAGAGAAGCCAAGGGCTCCCAGCTCCCGGCAAGGAGTAGAAACCTGGGGTTTAGTGTCCCCATCTTTAATCCCAGTCCTGTTTGGTCCCTTGGTGGGACTGGAGATGGCCCCGGCCTGCAGCTGCTGATCTGGGCAGTGGGAAAAACAAGGCACCCACACTTCCTGCCACCCAGCAAGGATTCCCTACTGTGTGCCCCTGGGAAACTCAGCAAGGCTGCTCAACTATTTCCTTGAAAGTCGGAGCAACTGATTTCAGTTCCCTTTCTTCCCTTCTGTGTTGTCTCCAAGGTCTTTTCTGATTCTCCAGATTCTGCAGATGGGCAGGTAGATATGAAGAGAGGTCAGTCCGGCCAGATTTGCACGCAGTGGACTCAGGAGGAGCTTTGCTTCTTGCTTTCCGGCTCTCTTCCCCCAAGGGGCCCGAATTTGTATAAGAGTTCCTGACATTGGAGCTATTTGAGACATGTTCTGCGACTGAGAGTTTAAGGTCGTCAGCATGGCTAAAAAGACTAAGGCTTGAGTCCTGGCCAAGCCATGTTTGCGGCAATACAAAGGACCACAGAAATGTAGGCAAACTCCTTCATTTTACAGCGACAGAAACCGGGGATCTGGGGGTTGGGATTCCATGCCTGAGTGACCCAATCGGTGCGCAGTTGGGCAGGGCCTGAGCCGAAGTCCCCTTGCCCGACTCAGCTCGGGGCTTTTCCATCCTGCCAGCTGCGCCTCATTAATTCCACCTCCGAAAGTGCCAAGGAAGTTCCCTCCCAGAGCTTACCCGGGCAGCCCGGGTGGGGCGAGCCAGTGGCACGGAGCAGCCGGGAAAACGACACACCCCAGCTCACCGCCGCTGGGTGGGAAAAGAGCCGGGGCTGGCATTCAAGTTCACTGCCCGCACGGTCAGGCGTTGTGCACAGGGCTGGGCCACGCTGCCTCGATTACTTCCAGGCTGTCCCCCACGCGGCGGCTGCCTGGGAACGGTCCGCTCGGGGGTCCCCCCAAATAAGGCCGTCCGTCCTCGCTGTTTAAAGACATCGAGCTGGGCTTTTCTCCTCGGCCCCTACTGACCACAGTCGCCCCGCCGTCCCCACTCCCGGCCCCGGCTTCACCTTTGCAAACGGGCTCCCGAGCCGCCCCACTCCAGCGCTCGGCTCCTCCGGGCCTGCACAGGGCGCTCCCGGCGGCCGGCATTCCTCGGATTCCAGCGCCGTGACGTCCCGGAGCCCGAGCGCCTCCGGCCCGGAGCCGGGATCCGCGTTCCGGCGCCCCCTCCTCCGTCCTCCCCTTCCCTCCCCTCCCATCGCGCGCGCCCCCGCCGCATTCCCGGCCGCCCCGGCGCGCGCCCCGCGCTCCTCCGCCCCCGGCCAGCGCGCGCGGCGGCCCGGTGGGGAGCGGCGGCGCCTGCTCGTCCCCTCCCACCGCACGGCCCCTTCCTCCCCGCGCCCGGCCGCCCGCGCTTCCTGCCGCCCGGGCGCTCGGGCCCTGCAAAGTTCTGCTCAACTTCGCCGCCACCCGTGCGGGTCCCCGTCGCTCCCAGACCCTCGCCAGATCCGCCGGGCGGGCGGCACCGCCGCTCCCCCGCGCCGCGACTGCCACAGACACCGTGCCCCGGGCCGGCTGCCCTGCGTCCCAGCGCCCGGCCCCGGAGTCAGCTCCGTGGCGATCGGGGCCCCGCCGCCGCCCGGGCCATGTAAGCAGGTGAGGCGGGCACCGGGCGGGACCCAGGCGAGCGCTGCGACGCCGACTGCGCCCCGTGCCTGGAGAGCCCTCGGGGGCGCGGGCCCCGGGGCGCACCGCGGGCTGCTGGAGGTGCGCGCTGTCTGGAGCGCCTCCTCCTCCTCCGCGTGCCTTCTGCGTCTCCGGAGCCGGAGAAGGCCGGGGAAGGGCGCAGGAGACCTCCGGACCGCGGGGACGGGAGCGTGCGGGACGGGCGACGCTGCTGTCGCCGAAGCCGACGGGAAGGCAGCGCCCACCCTGGGCGCAGGGTTCAGGGTGAGAGACGCCCGCGTGCTTTCTCACTAGGCCCCAGCCTCCCCGACTATCTCGAGGGTGCCTTGACTTCCCCTGGGGTAGGGGGGACGCGTGGCCTTTACATTTTGGAGCAGGGCTCCCCCTCCAACTTTCGCAGTTCAGCAAGTGAGCAGCCCTTTCCCACGTGACGCGGGTCTAGGTTCAGAACACTTGCGAGTGAATTTTCCCCCCTTGCCTTGGGGAGAGGACGCGGGGAAGCGCTGCCCTCCCCTGCCCTGGTCTCACAAGTCCTATGGCTCCGGCAGCCCTCCCCCCCCCCCCCCCACACACACAGTTTAAGAAGATTGCAGGGTTTCAGCTTCAGGCTGTCTAGGCTGCTTGCATGCGCTCTTGAAGGTCTGAGTCTCTGAGGTGCAGGCTGCGCTTTCCACTGCTGCTGCATTCATTTCTGATTCGTTCACTCATTCGTTCAACAAACCGAATAGCGCGCTTCCCTCAGGCCAGAACGAGGTCTCGGTGTAATAGTGTGCGGCCGCTTGTGGAAACTCAGTGGTCAGGCCGGTCCAAAAGGTGCCATGGTGGACGGCTTGTGGAAACCCAGTGGTCAGGCCGGTCTGAAAGGTGCCCTGGTGGACGGAATCTGTGAGAGTCCTGGAAGGCTTGGTACCCAGGAGGTGGTGATTAGGAACTGCATTCCAGAGGAGCTGGCAAAAGTAGAGAAAGGAGAGAAAAATTATTCCTATCCGACTGGGGGTCCAAGGGAAACTTAGGCATGATGCTGGCATGGCTTGTTTCCCCCCCACTGGCTAGAGCAGAAATTCACCTGGAACCAGACTCACCTTCCAGAAGAGCAGAAGTCTCTCTTGGGACACACCTCCACATCACCAGTGTGGGCTAAAGGACCAGCCACATTTTAATTGGCATTGATTGACCCACACCTGTTTTCATCAAGTTGGCCTGTACTGTCCTTCTAAGAGCCGCCTGGCTGCAGGGCTGCAGGAACAGTGTCCCAGCCCCTTGTGTTAAAAGTTGCCTGGTCATTTGGTGATGGGGTTGACAGCTCAGGCGGGAGAAACCACAGCTCTCGTGGGCTGAGTGCGATGATGTCCTTTTGGTTCGAGCCTGTGGAACTGGGTCCACTATTCTCTGCTTTCAAAGCCACCTGTGCCTCAGCAGCCAGTGTGCCCGGATCATCCTCTGAGATGTTGCAAGAACTAAAATCACCTTGCAGGACTTGGTGGCCAATGGCTCAGGATTCAGCCCGTGGTGCCTACAGAAGCTCTTGTAATGTAGCCATGTTAAGGACCCAGTTGCCTTTGTCAGGCGCCACTCCACGGGGCTCAAGTGGTGTTGTAGTATTAGTCTTAGTGACCCAGTCTTGTCCGTGGTGGCAGGCGGCCAGCTTTTTGTGACCTCAGGCCGGTAGACAGGTGTGGGAAGAGAACTCTGGCTTCCTACCACTTGGGGTGTTTACCTAGGCCCCTCGGAGAGCAGAAGGAGGCTCCTGAACAGCACCCTGAAAAGTAGCCCAGCAAAGCCCCTTGCTTTTCTCCGGAGGTCTTGCTCCTGGTCCTGTGTTTGGCCCACAGACCTCGTTATTATTAACACTTTAGTAAACCTGAGTTGGTGTAATGGTCGTGTGTGTTGTCCCAACAGCTGTAGTAGAAAGAACAGGAGACTTCTATGTGTTTTTATTTTGTTTGTTTATTTATTTAAGATGGGGCCTTGCTGTGTAGTTCAGGCCGGGCTCACTAGGTAGCCCAGTTTGGACACCAGTCTCCTGCCCCAGCTTCTGGAGTGCTGGGATTCCAGGCGTGTGCCACTATGTCTGCTATCAGGAGACTTTTTAATATGGGAGAACTATAAAGAATTCAGAAGAAAGTCAGAATTCTTCCAATTGCTCTCTGCCCTCAATGGATGAGCCAAGAGTCAAGAATTATGAATTTTTTCAGTGTGTGTGTGTGTGTGTGTGTGTGTGTGTGTGTGTGTGTGTGACTTTCTTAGTAGTGGTTCTAGTTTGCTCCAGAAATGCAGGTACCAGTGTTTTTTGAGTGGTCATTTTAGCCCCCTGTGTTCCCTGTCCTTGTCCTTTTTGAACAAGAATTTGACCAGGTATCTTGCGTGTGAGCTCCATGGTTTAGTTACCAAGTGCCCAGTGTGTTTCACATTCATCTCGAGCCCCGAGTACTGCTGCACATCTTGGAGATGAAGCAGGGAGATGGAATGCTTAATTAGCCAATTAAGGAAGGAGGCGGGGACAAAGGCCAGAGCTGGTGGAGCAGGGAGGAAGTTCATATCTACTTTCAAGTAAACGTTCTGATCTCCCCTCCTGGATTTAAGTTGATCTAATTTACCCTCCTCCCTGGGCTGCCACTGAGAGGAGAGAGGGGCGTGAGTTTGAGGCAGGGTCCCTCTTTTCTGGCCAGAGTTGGAGAGTGCAGAGGGGCACAGGGTGGAGATGGTGACATGAATTGATGGGTTTGAATTGTGGCTGGGCCGCCTTGTAAGCCATGTGGCTGCCCTGGGCAGACGTAAGGCCTATGTGAGGCTCACCCGGTTCCTGCAGCCCGGCCTGCTGGGATATTTATGGAGAATTCAGGGCAATGCTGTGTAACTGTGCCTCAGACAGACCAGGTCAAGGATAGCTATTTATATGTTCGGGGAGTCGTATGTGGTCGTGAATGCGTCCTTTGTTACTCAGCAGGCTGAGTTCACATGTGTGCCAACATACACACAAAGCTTTGTCTTTGCCTTTTTTTTAGTCTGTCCGCTCAAAGCAAACATGTTGGCTGGCAGCTTCCATGAGGCCCGCCCCTCCCCGCGGTTGGAGCCGCTGGGCAAGCAGTGGGGTGGTTTGGGGCGGGGAAGCCCATCCGGGAGCTGGGCAGAGAAAGACTCTTTTGCCTGCCTGCTCCTTCCTGTAACAAGGGTCCAGTGTGTTATGCAAGTCTCTTCGCATTTCTAATGTTGAAATCCAGTTAATTAAAGAATCGTAGGAGAACCCCTGCTGTTAGCAAGGGTGCCAGCGCGGGCAGATCTTCCCAGACTTGATTTCCCCCATGAAGCCTGAGTGGAGCGTCTTCTGCAACACGTGCAGCATCACAGCTGGACGCAGGTCGCTCGGATTTTTTTTTTTTGACTTTTCAAAACAGGGTTTCCGTGCAATTCAGGCCGGCCTTGGACTGACTTTGTAGCCCAGGTTGGCCTCGAACTCACACCGATTCTCTTGTCTTGGCCTCCCGAGTGCTGGGATGACAGGCGTGCACCACCACACCCAGCTGGTCCCTTGGATTTTAATATTTCCTTTCATCCCAGAGAAGTCTGAGGTATTTGAAAAACACTGACTCCTTGATTGTCCTATTAGCCCCGCACTGGTGGGAGTTAGAAGGTAAAGAACAGCTCCCAAGGAGGCTGCAGGGCAGGGAGGTCGAGTGTGTGTGCTGTTGAAGCAGAATAGATGGTTGTGGCAAAAAAGATTAAATGCCTCTCATGCAGAATTGCAGGCTGGCCAGGAGCTCTGAGCAGGGCGCCCTTCTCCTTTGAGAAGTCCGGGTAAGAAAGCCAACAAACTTCAAGTCTGACCAAGAGTTTTGCCATGGGCGGGGAATAGAAAGCTATTTTGCCCAGACCAGTGGAGCTGTTGCCATATATTGCATGCACAAGGATTATGAAAACAAATAATCCTGGAATTATTTATAATTCTGAATTAAAGGATATGATGCAATGCTTGTGGGTCAAGTAGCTGGGCATGAAAGATTATAATGATTAAGGAGCCTTTTTGGTGGGATGGGGTGGCAGTGGGTCTGAGCTGGATTGGAAATGGCAGTAGCATATCAACAGTTTGGTTTCTCTCTCCATTTCTGTCTCTCTCTCCCTTCCTGGTGGTTCTGCATTCCTTAACTTTCCCTCTCGCATCAGACCTTTGTTTGATTTTGTCTCCTGGTCTTTGCTATTGGAAGAAACCTCCCATAGCTGACCTTGGTTCAGCTTTAAGTATAAATCTATATGTGGGTGATTTAGCTTAGTTCCTTGCGGGGCTAAATTAGGCTCATGTCAAGAGTTGCGTGCAGAGCTAGGTCACTGAGCTTGACACTGGAGGACTGTCGCCTACCCGAGCTCCTGTAACCCTAGCTGGCCACCCCATAAATGCTTGATGCAGGTCACCAGGGAGGAGGCTGCTTGTGGTATGGGCTTCTCTAAGGAGTGCGGCGGTCTCTGCACATTTGTGATGTCTGAGATTTTAGTGCTGAGTATGTTACCAAGTTAGGAAGACTTGCACCCGACCCGGGCTGAGTTTACTTTGCCTTACCTGTTTGTGAAGGATACACTTCATTTTTTTACTTAACCCTAGCTGGCCACCCCATAAATGCTTGTACTAAGTTTCTTTGTGTCTCTGGCCTTATTTTGGTTGGTTGGCTTTTCATACTCCATTGGAGCAGTAGGTAAAACCTTTTACCCTAGAGTGCATCAGAGAGTGTTTTTTTGAAATAGGGTATCACTGTGTAGTTCAGGCTGGCCTTTAGGGATCCTCCTGCCTCTGCCTCTGAGTGCTGGGATTACTGGCCTGCACCCGAATGCCTGCTGGAGGGTTTGTTAAACAGATTGCTCTTCCCCATACCCACGGGCCCCCTCATGTCCGCTTTGGATTTGGTAGCCTTGGGGTGAACCCAGGAATTCTCATTTCCAAGGAGCTGAGGTGCTGCTCATGGTCCACCCACC